TATGGATCATGATTTAACCTATTCATGTTAGCAGGGCAGAATTGTGAGCGCCTCCCACAAGCTGAGCACCGAGATGCGATGCAGCCATCCTGCCCAGCGCCGACTACGAGAGGCACCGCGTGAGGCAACAGGGATCGGAGTGAATTTGTGAGTAAGGGAAGCGGGGACGGGGCTGGCTGTAAATCTATTGCTATAGTGTACTGGACGTGTGTAATGTATATGTATACATATATACAGCACACACCTCCACTACACTCCAGCAATAGAGTTACAATTCTCCGCTGCTAACATGAATAGGTTAAACCATGATCCATAGTACATAACATGTAGTTGTACTATGGATCATTTAAAGTCACCTGTCTGACTTTAAAAAGTGGCATCGGGACATCCCTAATATCTATATACAGTATATATTACTGTCTGGAGCTTACCTCTATACTAAGTGCTCCTGACCATTCATAAACTGAGGAGATAGTATCAGTTACTATGTCCACAATCATGAATGAACAGGAAGTGATGTAGAGCACTTCCTGTTCATTCATAACTGGGGACACAGTAAGCATATTATGTCTTCACTTATTTACAAACACAGTCATTAGCTGATATAGATATCTCAGAAGGACGGTCTCAGCAGGTGTGTTTGATAGTTTGCTGATAAACATATCTGATTAATTGATATTCCTAATGTTAGATAATAATTAACACTTATAATTTAAATGTTTGCAATTTACATTTTTGTTTAAAAATAATTTGTTATTTTTCTTCTAATCTATAGAGTGGGAAGACGACCAATAATGTGGATCACAAGTTCATGCCAGTTTTTATTTGGTGTTGCTGTGGCATTTACCTTCAACTATTACAGCTTTGTCATTGTTCGTTTTTTCCTGGCTACGGTGTGTTCATGTTTTATTATATGTTACAATATAGCAAGTTCTACAAGTATAAAACTAGGTAATTGAAGCATTCATATATTAGATGGCATGAGATGTTAAATATTTTTTTTTTTACAGATAGACATACCCTGTATGCAGTGACATCAATGTATATTTCTAGTTGCTAATAATGTTATTCATTTTGCCAGGATAAGGTTGGATATGTTTTTAAAAAAAGATGGGTTTGGCTACCTTTTGAAGTCCCCATGCTAAGCATTGTATATTTTCAGTGCAGATTCTAACATATTATTGCAGTGCTTGCAGTAATTTAATTATGAGTTTTTCCATATTTTGTAATTGTAATAAACACAGAGATTTGTAGATAAGTCACTAGCAGCATTTCTCCACCAGGGATCCATGGAACCCTAGGGTTCCTCCAGATGCTACTAGGGGTTCCTGCACTGGCGGAACTGCCAGGGTTGCAGCAGTCACATGTGCGACCAGGCCCTGGTGGTCCGCAACTTGGGGGGGGGGAGGATGTAGTGGAAAAGAAGAAGAGGGCAAGGCCCTGGTCAAAAATATCCTTTCGCTGCCATCAACGTATGTCATATGTTGCTGGCACTGGGCCCCTTCAAACAGACTCCTTGCAGCTACAGCTGTCATTCCCCGGCTGCAGAAGCAGGGCAATAAGCTATTGGAGCACAATCTGCCCTCCAATACCTTCTTTGGTGTGGAAAGGTGACACTAGGGGTCTAATTGACTCCTTATATCACCTTAAAGAGAACCTGTCACTTCCAATGTGCTTGGAAGCAGCCTTATGTAATACAACAAAGTGGGGGGAAAAAGTTTTTAAAAGATAAAATGAAATAGAATACATGTAAAAATAACAAAAAATTGTTAAGTCCCCAGCCCCCGTCAACACGCAAATATTAACATAAACACACGTCGGGTGTGCCTACGTACGAAAATGATGATCGTGCTAATTCTAGGGCCAGTAATCATGGATATCTCTAAACTCATGACCTGTACGTGCTTTAAAGCATCGCATATGGAAAATTTGGGGTACTGTACTTTGTCGTTGTTTCACAAACACATGCAATTTTTAACCTTGACATTGTGGGTGATCTATGTACTCACCGTAACCTCATCTTTTATATTTTCTCAAAAGATTATATTGTGTTTTTGGGCACTAAAGTTAACTTAATTGTATTTTTTACATACATTTTTGATAAAGAGTTGCGCTAATATCGTGTGTCCTAAATTTTTTTAACATTTTGGGGGTTTTAAGTAATTTTCAAGGCCTTCTTTCCACTGACCACCAACATAGGGGGCATTGTTTCCACTGCCACCAATTAAAGGAGAATTCTGTCCACAGACCACCAGTGTAATGGGGCTCTTCTCAACTGACCACCAATGTAAGCAGGGTTTCTGCAATGATCACTAATGTAACGGAGCACTTTAATGACTACCAAGCACAACAGTGACCATCAGTGTAAGATGGCACTTCCGCTTGCCATCAATGTGAGGAAGCACTACCATTTCCATGCCTGTATTTCTTTTCTGGCCATTATTAATATATTTGTTTAATTTCATTATTATTACTGAAATGTATATAGGACGCTGTATATAGGACGCTGTATATAGGACGCTGTACATAGACTAGCAGCTATGCTGTGCATTAAGATTATTGCTATTGTTGGTGTTGCCTCCTTTTTAACCTATTTCTAAAACCTGTCACATGGTTGAGACCAAATTATATGCTTTATAAGACTTTGAATGATGGCATCTTGCATTGTTATAGTGAATGCTTCATATACCACTATGGAGAATGAAAAGCTATATCACACACCCTCTAGTACAGTGGTTCTCAACTTGTGTAAAGTCGGGACCTTCATTTGTCCTTGGTCATTAAGTTGTGACCCAAGTCGCACTGCCAATGAAACGCATATCATTGGGGTACCGCGCGTTCCGGTGTGAGTGTACGTACTGTGGGTGGGAGGTGCATTTGGGGTACCATTCAAATGAATGCATGGTAGGTGCAATTGCGTAGTACAGTTTAGCGCACTGTACTAGTGTGAACGGGCCCTCAAAAACACTGACATGCATACTCAGACACAATCTCACACACTTACAGACATTTTCATGCATACTCCAAAAAATGTTTATTTAAAATGTATTTTATTTTTTTTAAGATCCACCCAGTATCCCTCGGGAGTGGATACTCAGCCTGGGGTCCAGTGTGTGCTGCAGTGCTATGACGCAGCTCAATCCATACATGCATTGCTTCTACAGCTCCCTTGCGCACACTATAGAGGTGCTGGGAGCCAGAATGTGATGTCACTCTAGTTCAGGGAACTGTAAGCAATGCCCTTATGGATAGAGCTCCCTCATAGCTCCAGCCTATCTCACCTCAAGCTGACAATCGGTGCTGGGCAGCATATTTTGAATGGCTGCTTAGCGTAAGAACTGACAGTGCTGCGCTAGAGGGAGGCTGAGGAGCCCCTCGCCTAGAAAAGTGAAAGGCGTGCGGCGACCCACTGAACATTGGGTCGGGACCCACTTTTGGGTCACGACCCACCAGTTGAGAACCAAGGCTCTAGTGGGTCCTCCATATGCTTCTCATGTATTGAAGGTAGAGGTAAATCTTCCTGCCGGGGTCCTTAAGATCTGCAAAGAACTGATGGGGAAACAAATGATGCCCCTCCATTTAAAATACCATAAAATAATAAGAAAAACTATTTTGGTTCAAAATCATTACAATGTTAAGTATTATCAAAATTAACACTGTAAATAGTTAATCTAAAATACTAAATTCTTTCTCCTTCTTTCCAGGTATCCAGTGGCTACCTTGTAGTAGTATTTGTATATGTGACAGAATACATAGGGATCAAAGCCCGCACTTGGGCGTCTATGCACATTCATGCCTTCTTTGCCGTAGGAGTTATGTTTGTTTCTTTGGTGGGTTATCTAGTGCGAACTTGGTGGATATATCAAATCATTCTTTCTGTCACCACCCTACCCTTTCTCCTATGCTGCTGGATGCTTCCTGAGACTCCCTTCTGGCTGCACTCCCAGGGTAAACACAGAGAGGTAGAAAATATAATTGCCACAATGGAAAAGTGGAACAGAGTGAAAAGTCCCTGCAAACTCTCTGAACTGTGTCCTGTGGAGGAAACCAACCGTACTAATGCTGAAGATGTCCATGTGTCCAAAAATCATAATGTGGTTGACTTGTTTCACAACTGGAAGTTTGCAAGAAGGACCATTTCTGTTTGGCTCATCTGGTTTACTGGTAGTTTGGGATACTACGTATTTGCCCTAAACTCTGTCAGTCTGGGAGGAAATGAATACTTGAATCTTTTTCTTTCAGGTACGAGAATTACCGCTTATTCGGGACGGCTTATACTCGAGTATATACGGTATATGTTTTTTGTACTGCATGCCAACTTAATCTTTAACATTTAAATACTAGAGCTACTAAAGTATGTAAACCCTAACAATGAATTTATCTTATTTGATCCCTTTTGGTCTGGTAAACTCAAAGTCGTTTGTTATATCTGTTTGATACGTGTTGATTGTGCTAGAAATCTGGAGCTGTCCTTTGAACACTGCCTGTGTTATCTTAAGGCATCCTTCCAGGCCTTATCTTACATTACAGAACCATAAGGAAAAGATGAGGGATTCAGTAGTTTAAAAACAGACAACTGTTGAGGTTTGTTTGTATAGACAAGTGATGGCTAACCTTTTAGAATGTTTTTGAGTGCCCAAACTGCAAAGCAAAATCAATTTATTTATCTCAAAGTGCCAACACTGAAAATTAGTTTGGTATTGTGTTTTAGTTTGGGCACTGGGGTTTCAAAAAGTTCAGCATCACTGCCTTAAGCAAAATAAGGAAACACACATATTCAAACATTTATACATTCACAGATACAAACACATATAACCACACAGATACAATCAGAGGTGGCTCTGGACTTTGTGAGGCCTTAGGCGAACCTCAAAGATGAGGCCCCCACTTACACCCATAATTTTAAAAAATGCAAACAATAATTAAAAATGAACTGCAATGGTAGAGGGAGATTGACGTCAAGCATAGGGGCCCCCCCCCCCTTTCAGGTGGCTGCCTTACGCTAGCATTGGCCCTGGTCCAATGTTACCCCTTAGGTTAACTGATTAGCGTTGCCACCTTTTCTTCACGTGAAACCCAAACACTCTAGCGCCAATTTTTTTTCTTGGAGAATATGCAGGATAGAGCAAGGAGAGACAGCCAGGAGAGAGATAGAGAAAGTGAGAGAGAGAGAGAGATAGAGAGAGAGAGGAGAGACAGCCAAGAAAGACAGAGGAGAGACAGCCAAGAAAGAGAGAGAGAAGAGACAGCCAAGAGAGAGAGAGGAGAGGCAGCCAAGAGAGAGGAGAGACAGCCAAGAAAGAGAGAGGAGAGAAAGCCAAGAAAGACAGAGGAGAGACAGCCAAGAGAGAAAGAGAGGGAGGAGAGACAGCCAAGAGAGAGAGAGAGGGAGGGCGGAGAGACAGCCAAGAGCGAGAGAGGGAGGAGAGACAGCTAAGAGAGAGAGAGGGAGGAGAGACAGCCAAGAGAGAGAGGGAGGAGAGACAGCCGAGAGGGAGAGGAGAGAGAGGGAGGAGAGACAGCCGAGAGGGAAGGAGAGAGACGGAGGAGAGACAGCCAGGAGAGAAGCTGAAAAGAGATAGCCAGGGGAGACATATATGTTTAGGTATAGGTTTCTGTCCTGAACAGCAAAGCAAAAAGTGACTACAAATAAAAAGTTAAAAAACCCACTCAGGTGGGCTGTGCAGAGTCTCAAGTGGGCTGTGGGGGTCTCAGGTGGCCAATGGGGGTCTCAGGTTGGGCTGTGCCGATTCATTCGTTATTATTAATATTAATAATAATTTGTATTTCTTTTATTCTTTAAACTTTTTTTTCCACTTAATTTTATTACTATTACACAGGAGCTAACAAGTACCAGTGTGATAGCATTTGGAGGTGACAGGTTCTCTTTATTGAAACTGTCACCTCCAATATAGGAGTTCTAGCACAGCACTGTGCTGGAACTCATGTGATAGCTGAAATGGGAATGCTCTCCCATCTTAGTGTTTACACAGAGCAGAGCACCGAACAGATGTCCCGCTCTCCACCCTGAAGTGATTGCCATGGTCCCGGGTCCCCAAGAAGAGCTGGGGACCCTTAAAACCACGGTGCTGTGCCAGCAAGGGTTGCAGAGGGGGGGGACAGACCATGGAAGGCTGAGGAGAGGAAGGGGGGAGTCAAGGCCATCTTTAATATTGCTCGGACCCTGGGCAATAATATTTTTTGGCCCATCCCACCCCTACCCGCCATGCCCAGCCCCCTACCGCCCCATGAGATGCCACACGGTCATGCTACGAAGTATATGGCAGTGGCCAGCATTTTTGCCTACACAGGTAAAGTGCATTTTTCTGCCCTCCCTCCCCGCTGTGATGCCCCTAGGCGGCTGCCTACACAGCTTTACGCCAGCGATGTCCCTGCATCTACCATAAATGATGTGATAGAAGGCCAGTCTGATTGTATACAGATTGATTGGATAGTTTAGGTAGATTTTCTCTATTACATAGATTTGATAGATCTAAAGTTGATTGTGCAGAAATTCTATGGTCAGATTGTTACATATATGGTGATTCTAGCATTTATCAAGCTATGTAATATGAGGAGAAACCTAAACAATCCATTCAGATCATATTAAATCAGGCCGGTCCCTGCACTACATAATTGGTGGTACAAATTAGATTTTTATAGAGTATGGTCAGCCTATAGGCGACATCTAGACTAGTAGTGGAGCGCCATGGAAGAGCCAACAACACACATTCATCGAGGGCAATTTATCACAGCTGGAGCAGACAGAATCTGCAGCAGTTGCCCATAGTAACCAATCAGCTTCTCACTTTCAAAACTTAGCTAATGAAACTGAATATAGAAGCTGATTGGTGAAGTCTCAGCTTCAAGTCCCAATCAGTAACATTCCCTGGCCTTCAAATTGTTTGTTTTCACCTCTGCAGTCAAATACCACGTAAAAGTGGTAGGCCAGTGCGCAGAAGTCCCCAAGAGTCAGTAGCTACAGATTGGCACAACAACAGGTGAGAATTGGAATTAAACTTTAAACTTTGCCCCAGGAATATTAATGAACTGTGTGACAGACAGAGCTGGAAGAAAGGGATGACAGGGGGCACAGCCTGGGGACATGGAACACAGCTCCTTGCCAGGACTGTCACCCTCTCTCAGTTACACTCAGTACTCTCTGGCTGTGACATTACCTTGCAGGTCTTCGGCTCTTCTCATCCTCTGCTGAGGAGAAAAACACAGCTCAGGATGGGACACGTTTCTTCAGTGGGCCAGTGGAGGAGGGAGGAGGAGCAGAGCTGAGTGTACCGTTCACCGGCTACACTGTCACCTCTTTAACCCTTTGCTGCAGAGCTCTCCTGCTCAAGGTGAAGCTGCTTTCAACACCTCTGCCCTGCGGTAAAGATAATCCTGAAGCTGCCGTTAGTCCGATGCTTCCCTACCTCATACCGCATGTCTGGCTGAGCCCGGCTCTCTCCCTCCTGCTCTCGGTGCTGCTGCTGGGACTGCTCTGCAGACGCACACAATAAAACCAGGCTGGCGTGGGGATGAAGCGCAGTCCCAGCATGAAGATGTTAGGTGTGGAGAACTGGCGGGGAGCGCTCTGAACCCTCAGGAGAAGTCGAGCTAGGCGGCCGCGAGGCCCCTGTGAACGCGAGGCCTTAGGCGACCGCCTATCTCGCCTAATTAGAGAGCCGCCTCTGCATATAATCATTCATTCATAAACACACACATATCACACACTCATAAAACACACACACAATTGCTGTTATACATAACAAACAACTACAACGTAATGTATTACTACACTATTCTGTTCTGTAAGCAACACCTTGTGTTCACTTAGTTTACCATAAAAGTTCTCTGTAATCAACTGGAGGCAGAATCTAGAGGGCACCTCACAAGTTCAGTGGAAGTCTACTTCCCGCAGCTATACTATAATGTATTGCTGGGATTTGTAGTCCTCTGTAGCTGGTGGCATTCTGTATTGCTGTATAATGTATTGCTGAGATTTGTAGTTCTCTGTAGCTGGTGCCATTCTGCATTGCTGTATAATGTATTGCTGGGATTTGTACTCCTCTATAGCTGGCAGTGCCCCTCCCAAGACTAGGCTCTGGATCCACCCCTGACACACACAGGAAAATTGTATTACCAATCTGATAGGATGAATAACTCTTAAAATTGAGCCTTCACCCAGCCACTAGCGTTCCATATCTAGCAACTAAGACTGGGTGGGACTGTGCTGCCATGGAGCTGTCGGAAAAGGAAAATTGCGGTAAGTATGGTAATACAAGTTTTCCCGACAGCTCCATGTCAGCACACAATTGGGAAATAACTTGCACAATACAAGGGTGGGAATGCAAGTAGTTTAATTAGACATAGAAGAAGCAGCCACGACCGTACGGCCAAATTCAACCGTAGTTAAGGCCTCCGGCTAAACACAGTAGTGACGCATGAATGTATGAATAGAAGATCACGTAGCCGCTTTGCAAATCACTTCGGGAGAAACGCCGCTCATGGCCGCCCAGGAAGTAGAAATGCTTCTAGTAGAATGCGCAGTAGCATGCCCAGGAACTGCCAACCCCTTAGCACCATACGCCAGGGTGATACCTTTCACCATTCTTGTAGAGATAGACCGAATAGAGGCCTTCAGGCCCTTCCTCTGCCCTGCCGGAATCACGAACAGGTGGTCGAGGATCGAAACGAAGCAGTAGCTTCAATGTATGAAGGTAAGGCACTACCCACATCTAGACGAGTTAGTTGATCCGAGTCCCCGTGGCCACAAAAGGGAAGCACAATTTCCTGGTTAATATGGAAGTAAGTGGCGACCTTCGGAACGAATCCAAGCATTAGCACCAGGACCACTCTATCCGCCAAGAAAGTAGTAAAAGGCTCTTTGTACCCCAATGCAGCAATTTCAGACACTCTCCTTGCTGATGAAATGGCTACTAAAAAGGCTGTTTTTAAAGTCAGTCGCCAGGGAGACACATTAGTATTGAACTCTGCCGATGCTAGGTAGTCCAGGACCAAGGGCAAGTCCCACTTGGGAAACAGTCGCTGCCTGGGTGGTCTAACCCTTAAAACAGCACGGAAGAACTTCACGATCAGAGGATTCACCACCCATCTTACTCCAGTGAAGGTGGAAATAGCAGAAACATGGCTTTTCAGAGTACAAAGGCTCAGGCGCATGTCGAGGCCTTTCTGAAGAAAATCCAGCACATGGCACACCCGGGGCAACTCAGGGGCAAATGAATGAAGGGCTGCAAAGTCCATGAATTTCAACAATACCCTGTTATAGGTTCTGTTTCGTGGTCGACTACGGCGGTCAAGAACATCTCGGAAGGAGACAGAGTCATCCAATGGCAGTGTGACATGCCTTGCCAGCCGCATGACAGCTGCATCCACAACGGGCGCTACCTCTAGCTCTTTGAAGTCATCCTTCCTAAATGGGTACAGCTTTGAAAAGCGGTTACGAAAAGCGGTCTTCCGGTCCGCTTGGCTCCACTCTTCAGTGATCATCTCCTTGAGCTCTACCAAAAAAGGAAAACTGAGCGCTTCCTTCCTGATGTGTTTGAAGAATCTGCGTTGATTGTCGGACTCTGCAACGTCATCTTCCCATCGTAACGCCCGTCTGACAGCCTTCACGAATGGCTGAACCAGTGTAAAATCAAAGCCATCTGCCAGATCCACGTCTGACCCTGAGGCTTCACTGCCAGAGGCAGACCCGGGTCCACATCTAGAGGAGTCATCGCAGGATCCGACCGGTGAGTGACCTGGTGAGAGGTGCCAGCCCGAGGCTGAGAGGAGGGCGAGGTACTGGCCGCAAAATCCTGAAGGGACTCCTGAAAGACCTGCCGCATCAGGCAAATGACCTGGAGATTGTCGGCCGACTTGTCCCTAGTAGCGTCTTGAAAACATGCGTCACAGGCAGTTTTACCAGGTAAGGCAGGGTTCTGGCAAGCCCAACATTGATCAGGGCGTGGTTGTGGATGATGCCCTCAGGCAGGGCGTGCCCTACGCTCCATAGAAGGGGAATCATGGCGAACTCTGGCGGTCCTGTGAGAAAGGCGGTCCCTGGAGGGGGATCTGCCTCTAGAAGAAGATGACTGGTGCCGATGAGACCTCGATGGGCTAAAAACATAAAAGAAACAACAGAACACATACCTTAGTTGAAGCGTGGACGAACAAGGCGATCCATGCAAAACAGACGCACAGACAGTCGTTTACCTTCTTTGGTGGCGCTGGTCTGGAATAGGGGTAGGCTTATCATTGGGCATGCTGAATCAGCAAGCTAAAGGAAGGCAAGAGAGAGATATAAGAAAAACCCCAGAACAGGCAAGGAAGTCCTAAGACAACCCCATAAAGACGTCACTGACAGGCAGTGCAGCCTACCTGATGCTGAAAAACAGTCTGCAGGGCGGCCAGGCAGCAACGAGCAAGACGCAGCCAACGAGAGGATGCCATTGCCAGAATGGCGATTTTCTTTTTTTTTTTAAATCGCGCCATCCAAGGCCACTCCCCTCATATGAGGGCCGCGTACCTACTGCGCATGCGCGGCCCAACTTAGAGCGAGGCTTGGAACGCAATATGCGTTCCACCTCCCACCCGCAGACAGAGAAGGAGCGAGACAGCACAGCTCCCCGCCGCATAAGTCCACCAGGACGCAAAGCAAAGCGGACAGAAGGCTAGAAGAGACTACTTACAGGAGGGATAATCCTGACTCAGCCCAAGCCACCATGAACCCAGCTTTACCGGGCAATATAGCCTCAAGACCAGCAGAGAGGCTCCCCCATACACTCCGCAGAGCACTGAGAGGACTGCACCCCAGCACAGAGAAGGGTGGACGGCCAAAGATTTACTCCAGCCAGGTAAGCGACCATCTGCATACCCTATAAAATTCCTAAAGGAGGAAAAAGGAGTAACGCTAGTGGCTGGGTGAAGGCTCAATTTTAAGGGTTATTCATCCTAACAGATTCGGGGGGTGGAGCCTACACCCAATTTTGTGCTGCCATGGAGCTGTCGGGAAAACGGAGACCATGGCGAACAAAAGTATCCACCCTCCAGAAGGAAGGACAGTGTCACCATGAATTCAGAGATGATTTGATGATCTATAGCCCAGTAATACACAAATAAGCTACATTTTTGTTAATAGTTAAGGTACTTAAATGCATTTTTAAGATTTAACTCCTGAGTTAAGTGTCACTTTAAAGAATAAGATATTAAAATAATTTGGAAGCTTCATAACACAGAGTATACTCTGACTTGAGTACATTTTTATTCTTGAATTTTATAGGTGCTGTGGAAATTCCCTCTTACATAGTTTGCTGCCTGGGCATGGACTATCTGGGAAGGAGAAATACATTGGCTCCATTTCTTTTACTCAGCACTGTCATCTGTGTTGTGATTATGCTCATACCTGAGGTATATCCAAATCATGTCCAATTATACATGTGACTATTACATTGTGAATGCAAAAGGCAATAAAAATTATGAAATGGTGGCAAGCAAACAATATAGCACTTTAGAGGATTCTGTAGTTAAAATTGATGTTGAAAATGAGTGTACCTGCAAAGAATACATATAATACACACCTTTCCCACTACACGCTTTGTTGATCTCTACTGTAATGGACAAAAGCCAGCTAAACAATCCTCAGAAACCAACGCTTCCAGGAGTGTTGTATTCCATGATCCCCTGTTGTACACTGGGGTTCAAACTGCTGGCTCCTAAATTAAAATGAAAAAATATTATTTTTGCTTGCCCATGATTGGGTGATGGAAGTCAGCAGATTTTCACCTTTCATTAAGCTAAGGGGAAACCTGTCGTGCAAAGTGCAAATTCCCTTGCAAAGTAAACATCCTATTTGCCTTTAGTAGATTAACCCAACAGAGTCATAGGAGCCTCTCCAACATGTCTCTAATTGATTCTTCTGCTACGTTTACCTCCCCCTTGTGTCCAGACAAGGAAAAGAAAAGTACATGTGAAAGTTTTGTGTTCTGTGAACTGCTCCCCCCACTGTTTCACCTATAAATACTAATGGTAAATACAAAACAACCAGATATCCACATGACTTGCAAGATCCTAATTCAGTCTATTCAGGGTCTTTGGTAGGAAATACAGTTATACAATTAGATTTGTTTACACAGACCGGTTGAGAATATATATATATTTGATACTATGATATCTATGATATGATATGATAAAGCGCTGCACAAACTGTTGGCGCTATATAAATCCTATGTAATAATAATAAAATGAATAATACTAGACTCAGGTTATTCATTTATGTTTTACAGGGACATAATACTGTTACCATCATTATGAGTATGGCTGGGAAGTTTGCCATTGGTACTGCTTTTGGCCTTATATACCTATACACGGCTGAACTATATCCAACAGTTGTGAGGTGAGTTACAATAAACTACACAATTATGTATATTTATTTCAGATTAAAAGAAATCTACTGAGTTAAAACCCAACTCTGTGCATGCTAGGCCCCCCATTCTCCCTCCTCCCCACTGGAGTATTACCATAGCAAAAAGAGCTACATACTTACCTTTTTTCCAGCTGTCATCACAGGTCTTTTTCTCCCTTTTCTTCCTCTGGGGATGGGCATTCCTTCTGTGGGTTTTGTGTGTGGGGGGTGAATTCTTGAAGCCATGGGCTTACAGGAAGTGGGTTAAAGGAGAACTATGGGGTTAAGGCTTTTCCCCATAGTTCTCCTTAGGGTAACGGGAGGACACAAACTAGCGTCCTCCCGTCACCCTAGGCTCAGTATACCGCGAGCTGTAGCTCGCGGTATACTGAGACGCCGCATCTGAAGTGGATCCCGACAATTGTGCCGGGATCCGCCCAGCTGCGTGACTTACAGCTGGCTCTGCCTATCTAGAGGCAGACCCAGCTGTACCCGCCCCCTACCCCGTCCGTTCCGCCAGTCAGCGCTGGCGGATCGGAGCGGGGAGGGGGGAATCCAGCCCCTCCCCTGTCACAGCAGAGAGCCGTGACAGGATCGAGAGGTGAGCGAACGCCGGTATGTGTTCGCTCACCTCCCGCTCTACTGAGCCGACCTGTGACAGTCTCATTGTCACAGGTCGGCTAGAACTATGAGGTGAGTGAAAAACACTCACCTCATAGTTCTGCTTTAAATAATACTGGGCATCATTAATTCTGGAAGAGGAAGAGCAGCTGGAACCTGGAGTGGTGAGTCTGCAGGTGACAGCACCTGAGATCGGGTGAATATAGCAGTCTGAGCTGCTTTTTGTTTTCAGGGGCTGTAATGCTAAACAAATGTTTTCAGCTATTTGTTTGTCTAATTCTTGTAGTAAGACTAAGGAAACTGACCCAGCAGTATTTTCTGTTAATGTACTTTTGTTATTAGGGATGCACCGATACTGATACTAGTATTGGTGCCGATACAGAGTATTTGTGCGAGTACTCTTACTCATCCAAATGCTCCTGATACTGGAACTTCCAGTATCAGGAAGCCAGGCGGTGAGTCATTACACCCATACAGTATATCTCATTGTGAGAAAGCTAGTTTCTCACAATAGAAGATACTGTCCCATTTCCAGAAAACATTTTTTTCTGTTTATCTGAACAATGGCATTTGTTTAAGCAAGACGAACTGTCTCTTGAAATGCTCTTTGAAAGTGTAAATCTACCTTACGTGTGTGTGTGTAATAATCATAAGGGCATTTACACAAGTTATTTACACAAATAATATATTTTGCCCCTTGATACTTTAGGTCCCTGGCTGTTGGCAGTGGAAGCATGATGTGTCGACTGGGTAGCGTGGTTGCCCCATTCTGTGTGTACCTGAAGGATGTTTGGATTTTTATGCCACAGGTACTTTTATTTCCCAAAATAAATTAATTCTTGATTCCTTAAATATAGAGTGTCTTGTAGACATGATTAGCTTTCTACTCACAAGCAGTAAAGGTGCCCATACACCTTACGACCATCGCAAGACTTTTGTCTTGCGATGGTTGTAAGCTTATTAAAAGCTTGTACGATCTGCCCATCTTGGACAGGCAGATCATACTTGCGATCATCGAAAGCCCGCCCCGCTGAGGGGCGAGCTTCCGATGACCGCAATGAGGGGCGGGCTTCCGATCACTGCAAACGGGCAGTGTGCGCGTGTGCACACCGGCCCGTTCGGCAGTTGTCGAACAAGCAGGCCACTAACCCGCCGAGAATCGTACGATTCTCGGCGGGTTTTCAAGCCTGCTTGTTCGACGGAAGACGTGCGAACCGTACAGTAGAAACGGTCGCACGCCTTCCATACACTGTACGATTATCGTACGATCGCGGGATTTCCCGTGATTCTCGTACGAGAATCGTGCAGTGTATGGGCACAGGCTGAAGGTACAGAAATCCTGCAGTTAATTTTCATAAGAATTCTCGTTAAGAGTTTTATTTCCTCAACAGACACTGCCAAATGTTTATATTAATAATTGGGGGCAGTTCATTTCCAGAACTTCATGCTAACAACTTTAGTATATACAGCTGCAATACATACATGAATGGTAATTCTGTTCAATCAATCTTGTGATTCACACACTACAACCATATTGAAAAGCCTGACAAGGTGGACATTTGTGCTACCTGGTTAAGCTCTAGAGCTTCCTATCCCCCCCTTTAGCCTGCTTAGCATTATTCCACTGTTGGTTCATTGTCTCCTATGCAGGCATAGGGAGTAGCAAAGTTTAAACAAATATATATTTACACACATACATACACGCACACGCACACACACACACACACACACACACACACACACACACACACACACACACTTTGATAACAGCTGCTTTTGATGCTGGAACACCTTTCTTGCACAATAATGATCCAGACATTAACATAAAATCCATCAATAATATATCTTCCATGTCATTTTTATTTTTATATTGTCTGAAATGGCTCCTTTGAATTAGGTACTATCAATTAAGCTTTTGTACTTTTCAAATGAATCCTCCCACCATTGCTTGTTCAAAAGAAAAATTTAATTATATTCTTCGTGCAATATAAAAAGGTCCTTCCTTCTAAGCTGATTTCAAGATAAATGGGAAGTGCACCTAAATGGCCACGTGAGTTGTAATGTTTTAACACCTACACATCAGATGTGAATGAATTTGATTTGAATTAATTGGTTTGCAAAGTGCTTTGTATCCACTAGATATATACTAGTGCATATAAAACATAATTAAACCACGCTGCTATGAAAAGAGCAAAAAGTGAGATATATTTGCCATTTATATATTTAATATTTGTTTTGTGAAAGTTTACTTTTTTGTTTTTCTTTTCAGCTACTAGTTGGAATCATGGCATTAATAACTGGAATATTAACCCTTATGCTCCCAGAAACACTTGGGAAGCCACTCATGAACACAATGGAGGAAGCTGGAAAAATAGAAAAAAAGACAGAAAGTAAAAGAAAATCATTAATAGAAGCCAATGGGGTTGCCATGGAAAAGCTAGATTCCGCTACAATAGGTGCCCCTAATGCTTAGACTCAAAAGCAATACATCATGTAATATTCATTTATAAAGCGAAGCAAGGAAGAGAATTCCCTAAAGTTCATATTGTATGATTTCGTTAAGATCAGTGTACATCATTTAAAGTGACACTAAAGGAGTTAGATCTTAAAAATGGGTTCAAGTACCTTAACTATTAGCGGAGTATTTGCACTTTCCCAGTTGAATTTGGGAAAATTGAATTACCGTCCTTCAATCTATTTCCCTCCCTCCCTTGCTACACTTACCTTTGGATGAACGCTCCTTCCCCTTCACTGGTGCCAGTGTACTACCTGTACTCTGTATTGTCATGTAGCACAGCCAAGCACTCTGTATTTTTAATTTCCCTCGCAAATGGTAAGCATTAATTGGTCAGCACAGTCACCAGCTACATTTTTGTTAAAGGGCAATTCCATTTTTCCAAGTGAATTTGGGAAAAATGGAATTACCCCCTCCAATCTGCCCCCCATTCCCCCTCCCC